ATATAATTGGACAACAAATTATATATTAATATTCTTTTCACAGAAAAATAATAACACATTATGTAAATTATCTCTTTTTTTCTTTATAATGAGTACACTTCTATAGTCATATTTAAATATCTTTTTTTGTTATTTTAAATTCAACAGCTAATTATCTCTTTTTTTCTTTATAATGAGTACACTTCTATAGTCATATTTAAATATCTTTTTTTGTTATTTTAAATTCAACAGCTAATCAAACAACTATTTTTACACTACACTAACTGTTAACAGCTCATATCTAATAACTCTTAAAACAGTTAATAACTCGTAAAACCACTAACGGCTGTTAAAACAGCTAGTATTGCCGAACAGACCTTTATCCCTACTTAACCCCTTAGCATTTCAACAAGCCAAATCTACAGATCCACAAGACAGAGTTTTGATTTCTTTCTTCTTCTTTATTATATATCAACTTAAATTAGTAAATTGTAGTGTTATTTTCTTTATTTGAATAAGATTTTTTTTTTTTTTGGTTAAATTGATTGGTATTTACGTGCTTGGTTTACTTGTGAGAAATTTTTTTTAGTATTATCAATTTAAGCAAAATCTTTAGTATTATAAATCTTTTTTGGAGTGGAGCAATGCACAAGCAAGCGACTAGTTATGTACATTTTCAATCCATAACCATTAACTTAGACAAAAGAAATCCATTGGTGCAATTAATTTAACATGACATGAGCAAAAGTAGTTGGGTTAGACAGTTTGGATGTTTCTTGTTCATAGCATCCAACAGAATAATGTTGGGCCATTGATTTTGGATGATTGAAAAAGAAATTTAAAAGAAAGAAGAAACTGAACGGTCCTTACAAAAACATGCTAATTAGATGAAAATGTGTACTAAGGGAGTCTTTAAAGAAAAGGTATAAATATGCAATTTTTTAACAATGTTGGAGGGTATGCATTTATGAACAAAAAACATTAAGATGGTAGGAGTATATATATAGTTTCAATAGCAATTAATGAATGGAAATGACAATATAGATGTTAAGCCTCAATATTTGTGTTGCTTCCTCATTTTCTGGTGCCTCTATTTGTAGAAACAAGGACCCTTTGCTTCATCTTCATGATTAGCCTTTGTAAGCTTGTGGATGGTGAAGTTCAAAGTTTTAAAAAACTATGGCTATGTAGAACATATATTGTGGAAAAACCCATATGTTAATAAGAGGTTACCAGAGAAAGAAGTTAAACGAAAAGACAGCATTTTTTTATCCTCAAGATTGTAATAATGGTGTCCTACACAAGATGGAACCTACCAACCCAACAATTTAACATAAACAAGCATTATTTGAGTTATATTTTTTTCGGGGATTGAGTTGGTTAGATAAAAAATATGAAAATTGAAAAGGAGTTTGGTTTGATTCAATTCTTTTTTTTTTTTTTTGTTAATTAGGGTTTGACAAAATTTGAATTTGCAGTCTAATCTTACAATATTTGTAATAGATTGAAACTCAACGGCATTGGATTTTAATAAGTATGAGCAAGTAATTATTTTTAATTTAAAATTTATTGGAATTCAGTCGATTATGATTTACCAAAAAAAAAAAAAAAGGGAATTTACCAAAAAAAAAAAAGGGATTTGAGTTTAAGCCAGGGCTTTGTTTTCAAACCTTAACATAACTAAAGGCCTATCTCCAAATTAAAAAAAAAAAAAAAAAGGGATTTGAGTTTAACCAAGGGCTTTGTTTTCAACCTTACATAACTAAGGCCTATCTCCAAATTATGCCAGGCTATGAAACTAGGGCCATGAAATATTTAACCGCATTGCTCTTATTGAACATTCCCATTTGCCAGATTTATGGACCTCATCAATGAAGAATGGTTTAGATTGATTGGAAAATTAAAATTAGTAATAACTAATAGCTTTTGCTTTAAATATTTCATTTGTATTAATGACGATATGGTGGTGCTGGTTGAGGTGATGGTGACTGTGACGGTTGCGGCGAAAGTGATAGTGAATGGTAGATTTTGAGGTTAAGTTTGATTAGAGTTTAACTTTTGAGAGATTGTAATGGAACGAAAATTACATAAATTTTTAGATGGAACGATTATTACATTATTTTAAGTAATGATAAATATAATACAATTGTAATATTCATTATATTACGGAATAAGAAAAAAATTCATCCAAATATAGCGGTTACTGTGTAATATAATTTTTATTTCATCATATGGTTGATTATATAGAACCAAACATAGTCTAAATTCTGTAATTGTGCTAAAATTTTAAAAACAATTTATTCTAACTTATATGTTGTGCATTGGTTAGTGATACCTAAGGACGACAATAAGTCGGGTATGGATAAGATGTTTTATATCATCCTCCTTAGCCCATGAAGCAATATATATTGTTCACTTCACCATCCACCTCACTACGGGTCAAGGCGGGTCTGGTAATAGATCAGGTCGGGGTAAATCCATTTAAAAAAAAATTTTAATGTTATTTTTCAAATTTTTATTACAACACTCATTTAATTTACATTTACATTTTTTATTTGTATTTATAATAAACATTATTCAATATTGTATATTGATTTCAATAAAATATGAGGTTCACTTTAAGCTTTGAACTTGAATTAACTAAATACATTTATACGAGTGAGAGAGCTTGGCTTAATCATAAGAAAAATATATATATTATTATTTTTTAAATATTTTTATATTATTGCTTTAATTGATAATAAGTAATAAATAAAAATGAATTATTTGAGATGTGAAAAGTTTTTTTAATTAGAGTATTTTTATGTAATAAATTAATTATTATTATTGTTTATTTTTAATATAAATTTTGAAATAATTATAAGATCTAAGATACAAAACTACTATGAAATTGTTTTATTAGAAATGGTTCATGATTTTTTTTGTCAAAATAGAATATACAATATAATTATAATCAATCATAATTTATAATTATAATTAAAAAAATATTATTTGTTCAAGACCACAATTAAAAGTAACAAATTTGTGTGAGTGAAAAAATTGTATTAAGTTAACTCAAGGTTAAGAGTGGATCACATTAATGTATTTTTTTATTTATAATTTAAGTTTTAATCGCAATTTAGGGTGCTACTACATAAAAGATAAAAATTCAAAATGAAATTAACATAAAAGTTAAAATAGAGTGAAATTACAATACAATTAGAAGTTTAGAGTGAAACAATGCAACAATGCATTAACAAATAATTAGATTATTAAAACTATTAATATTTTTGTAATCAATTTTTATGATGATACATTAAAATATGGTACAATGTATGTATTTTTGTTATCAAAATTTCAATTTTAAACAGTAATTCACCTCCATTTCCAAAAAAAAAAAAAAAAAAATTGTATTTTTGTTATCAAAATTTCAATTATTAAAACAGTATTCACCTCGCCATTTCCAAAAAAAAAAAAAAAACAAATTCTCTTAAATTTAATTTGAGATGCGAAAATGCAATCTCCAAAATAAAAAAAAATAAAAAAAAAGTTGAGATTGCCAAATGTTAAATAATAACTTAGGATCCCACCTAAATTAAATTAATAAGAGATAGCTACCCCCACTAATTTATTAAGCTTGTCTTTGCAATGTGATTTTCCAACTGCTTAATGAATTAAAAATGCCTAAACTCATTTATGCTCTTTTAATACTACTATTTTTATTTTATTTATTTATTGTGTTTTATAAATTAATTAAAAGTATTAAAAACTGTCACTAATGAGGTAAATAAAAAAAAAAAAAAAAAAAAGTTGAGATGCCAAAATGTTATAATAACTTAGGACCCACCTAAATTAATTAATAAGAGATTAGCTACCCCACTAATTTATTAAGCTTGTCTTTGCATGTGATTTCCAACTGCTAATGAATTAAAAATCCTAACTCATTTATGCTCTTTAATACTACTATTTTATTTATTTATTTATTGTGTTTTATAATTAATTAAAAGTATTAAAACTGTCACTAATGAGGTAATCATGAAATCAGCAATATTTCAGCATATATGAATTGACCACCCCTTTCAATTTTCATAAATGGTTATGAAATGAAAGATGATAGCAAGTGGTCCATTTTCTTAAGAACCAATAACCAATAACAAATGGTTGTTCATGTTCTTGTTCCTGTTCCTATCTTTTCGTTTTGCTGTTTCATAGTTGATAGGGAAAAGGTGATAGCAACCCATTACCATTCGGCTCTTCTTTTGATCCAATTTTTGTTCTTCTGGGTTTCGAATTTAAGCAACACCTTCTTCACTTTCAAATTGAAAGCTATTTTTTCTCAGCTTCACAGAACACTAAATTTAATAATAATCACATAATAATAAAAACTTATTTTTTCCGTAAATACTACATTATAAAATCTAAAGTTGAAACTGTCTTTTTTTTTTTTTTTTCCTCCTGAAAAGACAATTTAAAAATATTATTACAATTTTATAATTTGTTGACCAAAGTTAAGGTAGCAATTGTCTCACTATGGAGCTTGGACTAATATGGTTAAGCAAAAGAAAGTTACACAGTGATTAAGGGCCTGTTTGGCAATGTTACATTGTGATTAAAGATTTGTTTGGCAAAATTAACTGTTTTAATAGTTATTATTTGTTTGATAGTTATTATTTGAATAGCTTGTAATAAAATGCTAAACGTTACCGGAACTAACCTTTCTTCTTCTTAGCTTTTAAAAGCTATTTCAAACCTTAGGTTACCGAACACTATAAAAAATATCAATTAACATTTTGATTGGTAAGTGTGTTGACCTAATGGAAAACGGCATCCACGATCCAACATATTTTTTTATCATAAACTGTGAGTTAACTTCAGTATACTCTTGACATATTACTTTTCTCAAACAGCTAAAACAATAAAACAAATCATAACCTAATCACAAAGTACCATGTTAATTATAGCCAAGCACAATCAAAAGAATAAATTTCAAGTAGAAGATTTTAGAGAAACAACGAGAAAAAATTGCAAAACAGAGATTCCTCTTCGATAATCAGGCCAAAGCCGTAAACTGAATTTACTGAAACGATTAGTAGTATCATTCTATACCATATGGCTATGCACTGACTGACGATACTAATACAAAGCAAACTCTTGAATTGCAAAGATATGGCACTGACCATGCTAATTTTAACCTGCAGCAACTGCGGCTTCTAAGAGAACAAAATCAAAAACAGTAAAAACAGAGAAAATGAAAGGTTAAAATAGAAACACTCATATAATAATATGAGAGAGATACTACAACAAAAGTGAGACAAGCGTAAAAATCTATCTGGTTTGTCTCCCACGGACCCCAACTATCCCAAGCCATGACTAGATTTTCAGTTGTTCCAAGCTCTGTATCGACTCGGATTCTTGTAGCTTGTCATCTATTGCTGTTTTCCCACTTTCTTCTGTTTGAGCTGGCAATTTATTTGGCATGGCAGCAGTAATAGCAGTTGTCTTATCTTCTCCTTTTGTAATGTTTAGAGGATCTTCCTTTTCAACAGCCTGAGAATCTTCTTTCTGAACACCCAGTTGATCTTTTTGAACAGCCTGAGAATTTTCTTTCTGAGCCACCGGATTATCTTTTTGAATGATCATATAATCTTCTTTCTGAACCACCGGATGATGTTTTTGAACACCCATACAATCTTCTTTCTGAACCACCTGATGATCTTTTTGAACAGCCGGAGAATCTTCTTTCCAGACAGACACATTATCATTTCGAACATTCATGAGATCTTTTCGAACTGCTGGTGAAGCAGCATATACTAGCGATGTTGGCCTAATGGTGACAGGTGGAGGTTGTTGAGGCAGTCCTCGCATTACTTGAGGAGGGAGCGATGGTTGTTGACATGGAGGTGCAGCAAAAACAGGCTCTACAGTTCTTATTCTCACCGGTTGAGCCATCCCGTGGCAATGTGCTACATATTGTCGAATAGGAACGTAAGGAGCTGCTCCTGCTGCAGGGAATTTCTGAGGATGAGTTGCCCAGAGATCTAAAGGAGGTGAGTGTCGTGCCGGTACAGTTCTATCATTTGCTGCAGTTGATGTGGGTCTAGGTTGTACATGTCTGTCAACTGCTGTAGTTGAAGTAGGTCTATTTCGCTGAGTTGTCTTAGGGCAAATTAAGGGGAGGATTTTAGATGAGGTAACAGGGGCAGATTGTGGACTTGTTGGCCTAGGGCTATGCATTTGAAACTTTTTCGAAAATGGTATAGGGGAGTTGGGGGAGCTTGCCATTGCCATTTTTTCCTTCAAACGGTAATTCAACAGGGCACGTGCAATTGTAATTTGTTCTAGCTCATCACTGTTCTCTGGTTCAGATGAAGAACTTGCATCTTCTTTTGCCACTGCCCAGAAAGAAAACATACATAACGCAAAACTTTACTTCATTAAGATGCACTATTGACAACTCTCAGATAAAAAGTCTGCACAAACAGTTAGAGTGCCAAAAGCAGGTGACTTCTCTACAGAGATGATCCACAAGAAAAAAACGTGAATACATTATATTATATATATAATAACTTTCCAAGAGAAAGTCTAGCTGTGATGAACTTAAAAGACAGTGAGCACTTCAAGCAAAATTATAATTCAGAGCCCCAACACAGTGCAATGCTACTGTCGAACCAGATAGAACTCCCATTGTTGGGGATCTTTTGGTGGACACATTCAATTTTTATTCAGTATACATAATCTATTAAGCATCCTCCGCTTGCAGAGACCTTATTACTTCACATTCGTATTCATCCACGGCAGTTATTTATACAAAGAAAAATTGGAATGGTACTCACATTGTTTTAGAGATGACCAGGCTGCCATGGCTGCATTCTTCTCAGCTTGTTTCTTATTCTTGGCAGGTTCACCAGTGAATGTAATTCCAGCCAATTCTACTGTCCCAGTAAAAACAGGTTGGTGCCCGAGGCCTGACCTGAATGTCGTGTATTGTGGCAAAGGAGCACCAACTCTTTGTGCAATTTCTTGTAGAAGGTTCTTGTATACCCCAGTTTCATCCTGACAATAAAGAGACATATCAGCACAAAGACCTCAGAACAAGCAAGCCAAGAGTAATAAACAATACTAATGCACATCTTTAGGGCTAAAAATAATTTAAGAGCCAAAAGCAACTGCTGCAATACATAAACATATAAATGTAACATCCAGAAGAAGTTGTCCAATTCGAATCTCTTGCAATTGAATTTTCATAAAGATATTTGTATTAGTAAGGATACAGACTACAGGGAGGTACTCAGTGGACAAAAACCAAAGTATGCTTTATAAAGCATATCCAGTTTTTCTGTTCGTGCAAGAGTTTAACTTTGATGAAAAATGAAATTGTAGGTTTTGTACAATGAAGTGCGATGGCACCACTCATGATTCAAATAAGTTTGCAGCGGAAATAGCTTCCATGAATAAGGCTAAAATTAGAATCTCATTTCATGAGAATTTGCACTAATTTGAAAAGCTTTTATAGAAAATCATCCTACGAAAATTATAATGCAGAAAATATGACTACACTAAAAAAAATGATCTCCAAATTCAACCCATTTAAGCCTGGGCTAGGCTTAGCTAGAAAGCTATATATACACACATATATATAGTCTTTTTCATATCATTTTTGTTCAGCTTCAATTCAAACAAATCTTAATTGCAAAGCAGACGGCAATACATGCACATCAGTTACAAAATAAAAAAAGATTACAGCTATTCAATTAAAATTACTCCCCGATAGATAATTATATTTAACCCAGCTTGATCAGAAGGCCCACTATTATAAAACTTACATTGTTCAACAAAATTTTAATTCAGCTTGCACAGTTGGATTCACCCATATGACCTTTTTTCATCCACCATCAGGAGGTAAGAATAATCAGCAAGAGAATGTAAATTTGATCGGATAATAAGACAATCATATCTAGAAAAGAAAGAAAATGTTGTTTTCAAGTGAAGCATATACTACTATCAATGCTGGAAAAACCCCTATAACTCTCGAGGGTGCAAGGGTATAGCTGCACGGGAAAATGAAGACATGCAAGGCTTTTTTCCATTTAAGGCACGTACAAAGATATACCAACTTCGCAAGATAGGATATAAGAGCCTATGGAAAGGTTGATAGTAATTCTGAAGTATATTTCAACAGGATTGTGGAAATGAAAGATAAATTTGAAGTATCCTTAAATTTAATAGAAACCAGAGAATTAGCAATGCAAGAAGCACAAATCAGGCACTTGAAGATATACAACTTTCTTAACACAGAATAATTTAACATCCCCGAAACCTGCCTTTGAGATCAATTGGAAGATTAAATTATTTGATAATCTAGACTAATCTAGCCCAGTAATTCCTGTACAGTAATTCCCGTATATTACCTTGTACAAAGTACAAGCACAAGACCACAATAAATATTATCTATGGCATCATTTTTTCCAGCATAAAATTGTTTACCAGATATGGAACTTCCATTAACAATTTCTAGCAGACATCCAACGACTAATTCTTTGACAAAATAAAAAAAATTAAAACAAAGAAAAATGTGGACAGGGAAAATGTGTGGTTAATTTAAAATTTTCACATATTGAACTTTCTTCCGTTTTCTCAGCAAGCAACCAATCGCAGAAGAGGGGAAAAAGAAGAAATCCCAAAGTTTTTAAATGACCAAAATACCCTGCCATTCAGCAAACTAATTACACGTTCACAGGGATCAAGAGTTAGAAACAACCTTAAAACAGATGGGTCTTGGTCACTACTATATCACAGAAACTTCCCCAGTTCTTACCGTTTTCCATAATTTTAATTTTATTATTATTTTTTAAAAAAGAAAAAAAAAAGTCAAAGAAAACTACAACCGTCCATTGCCAATTGGAGCAATGAGGGCATTTAAGTCATTCAACATCAACCTATCCCATCCCTGAATTACCCACAATCTTAAAAAGCTACCGGTGATCAACAAAAAGCCGCGTGCGCAGGGATAAGCAGGGATAAGCAACTAGACCTTATTGCGGCGCACGATAGCATCTCCCGAACTAAAAAATTGGAAAACTGACGTTAATAAAAAAAAAAGCACATACGGCACGGCAAGGCAAGGCAAAGGGCATTTCCGTCAATCTAAACAATTCGCCGGTAGCAGTGATGTGTGGCGTGCGTCAGGAAGCAACACGAAAGCAGAGAGAAGAAAATATTGAAAAAGAAAAGGCTAACTGGAAAGCAGCAAGCAACGCCCCCAGCGCACATTAGCGAGAGCAAGAACTGGTTACTTGAAAATTCTCTTATTCAGCTTTTTAGTAAAAGAAGCACATCAGGAGAGAAAATAATGGTGATCTTTAATAACCAAAGAAATAAAACTAAAAACGAAAAATTAACGAAACAATTAGTAAAGAGAAAGAACAAGAGTACAGTGTAATTTGCTTACCAGAATGCGAGCAGCGAGAGAATGAGAAGGGCCACGGTTAGAGAGGGAGTTCAGGGCGACTTCGGCGGCGGAGTGCTCAGCCTGACGAAGAGTAGAGCAATAGTGAGGGCTTTCAAAGGTTTCGCCGTTGAAGTTAACGGTGGCTTTGAATCTAGGCGCGTGGTCAGGGCCTTCCCTTATGCAGGTATAAGAAGGAAGATTAAAGCAGCTCCTCTGCGCCAGCTCCTGGAGCTGGTTCTTGTACATTTCGTAGCCTTTGTATGTCTATCTATCAATTCGCTGTAATTTCCCTCCGTTTCTTTCCTTCTTTTGTACTTTAGGTGGAGGAAGGAAATGGGGGATCGGGTCGGACCGGAGATGGGTCCGGCAAGATCAAGGTTTTTAGGGTTTTGATGGTTTTTGGATTAGAGAGAGAAAGAGAGGGAGGAGAGACGGGAAGTGAGAGAGAGAGAGAGAGGAAGACAAGGAGAGAGATGGAGGAGTAATGAGTAATTTTAGCGAGTGGAGAGTTCTTTTTTTATGTTTTTAAGTTTATTATTTTTTGGGAAGATTAAAATATTAAGAATTTATTAATGCTTTATTGCTGGGAGTCAACTGAACGTTAGGCTGCATGGATGTGATCTTTCCTCTAGATTTTCTACATTTATTTCTTCAAATATATTTTTGATAAATAATTTATTGTTTTTAGAACTGATATAGAAAAAAAAAAAAGTTAATTACTGCAATTATTTGATAAATGAATTACCGGTGTTCATCAAACCGTTTAAACTGACTAACAGCGTAAATCGATCTAAATATATTAAAATTGATTCAAAATTGTGGTTTTAAAATATTAATAATTTGATTTGATTTTATAAATTTTAAAATTGAGCTTTTGGTTCCATATATAATTTTAGAATTAAAACCGCCCAAATCAAAACCAAACTCTTATATATATATCTTCAATTTTTTTCATTGAAAATTTGCTTTGATTAATTTATATTATATATTAAATTATGAGATTTGCTATAGTGGATAATAATTAAATATTTTTTATTCATTAGATAAATTACATATTATTTTATAAAACATTCAAATGTTAAAGATTCATATAAAATTAGATTAATATATATGTACAAACTATACGTGTGTAAAACTTTTTTTTTTTTTTACTCTTATATATATATCTTCAATTTTTTTTCATTGAAAATTTGCTTTGAATTAAATTTATTTATATATTAAATTATGAAAGATTTGCTAATAGTGGATAATAGTTAAATATTTTTTATTCAATTTAGATAAATTACCATATTTATTTTTAATAAAAGCATTCAAATGTTAAAGATTCATATAAATTAGATAATATATATGTAACAAAACTAATACGTGTGTAAAAACTTTTTTTTTTTTTTTTAATTTTTAGTAACAGACTATATTTATAATTTGCTTAATGTTATCTTATTGAATATATAACTTTTTATAACTATATTAAGAATATATATATTATATATATATAATTTAAAAAATTTTTAATAACTAATTCAAATCATGTGTTATTTTAATGAACATAATTTTTATTAATTTATTTTCATATTTTTGTATAATGTTTTTTTTTTTTTCTTATTAACCTAAATGAAAACGAGGGTGTTTAAATTTTCTCGAACCATAGAAATTGTCAAAAATCGAACCAAATAACATAAAATCCAACCTATAATTTAAAAATTTTTAATAACTATTCAAAATCATGTGTATTTTATGACATAATTTTTATTAATTTATTTTCATATTTTGTATAATGTTTTTTTTTTTCTTATTAACTAAATGAACGAGGGTGTTTAATTTCTCGAACCATAGAAATTGTCAAATCGAACCAAATAACATCAAATCACCATAAAAAATTTGATTTGATTTGAAATTTTTTATGGTTTGGTTTGACTTTAATTGTTTTCAAACCCCCAATTTAAATTTGGTTGGATTATCATATTCAAACCCACCCACAAATAAGCCCTAAATGACTATTTTTTATTTTTACCAAAAAAATTCCTGTTTTCTTTATTTTTTAATTTATGTGCCATTTTTAATAATTAAGATAATATTAGTTATTTTCTTTCAATTTCATTCGCCTATGCATTATTTTGCCTATAATAAACATTCCGTCGTTTCAGTCAATTGTGATCAAATTTTTAATCAAATAAAATTAAAATCATTTAACCGAATTAAATTGTCATTTTTATATTGATAGCGCCCAAAATTAAAGAAAATAAAAATCAAATTAAACAAATGATTTTGGCTGAAATATCTCGTTAATCGATTAACCAAATTAATCATAATATTTTAATCAAATTAACCTTAATGTTTGTTTTCTAATTATAAACACTAAAACGATATGGTTTTATTTTTCGGTTCATTTGATAAATAGGATTATATTAAATTTTAATTGAACCATAACTGATTACGGAACAAATCCAAATTTATTGATCAAGCCAAAGATCGATTTCCAATTCACTGAATAAAATTGGCTGATTAATCAAATTGGATGAAAGTTTGCTCACCCTTAATCTCCATGAAATTTTATCTCAATTAATTGAGCATTAATTAAAAAGTAATTTAGCCAATTATAATTTTTTTTATAAATAATTCAATAATTTTTTAATTTTTGAATAAAAATAAAAAACTGTCAAATTCATCTAAACATATGAAATAGTATTTAAATATTTTTTCATGAAGGCCAGTAGACTTGGAGTAATATTTTTGCTTTTCAAGGAATATTTTCATTATAAAAGATATAACTATTTATAATAACTATTTTTTATTGGTTAAATAAAAAGCACAAATGAAGCATAGGACACTTTGCTTCACATGCTTATAGCAATTTTGTAAAGCCCGAATACAAGTTGCATTTAAGTATTTCAATTTATAAAATTTTTCTTATTAAATATTCAATTTATAAAATTATATCGATTAAATACTTATGAAATATTTAAAAATATATTATTTTAAAGTATATAATAATCATACATTAAATCAATATTTTATATATAAAAATTAAAAATATAAAAAATTATTATTATTAGTGTAAACATGTATATAATAGTGTTAAAATTCATAACTTTTGAAATACAAAAGGGTAAATTATATATATGTATATTTTAAACGTGTGTTACTTTTAAAAATATATATATCGGTGGTAGAGAGCAAACTTTGAATAGTGAGAAATTGCATTTCATGCAATTGTACGAGGAGGCCAAGTTAAAACTTGAAACCCTACGTGTTAACTCATATTTATCCACATATTTTTAGGATAAAATTTACCCACACCTAATGATCTTATATATTGAGTTAATAAAAAAAAAAGAGAATAACCTCATTTAAACCAAACGCTATATGTTATAATTATATAAAATATTCACACATAGTATAAGTTTTATATGAAAGAAAAAATAATTCCTAAAGGATCGAGTTTGTTTGCCATCCAAACCAACATTTTATTATTAATTTATAAAAAAAAATTAATAATAAAAATAAAAATTTTTACAATTACTTAACATTGTTAACACAATTATCTTTTATAATTTGTTAATATTTTAATATTTAGTTGTAACGGATTAGGCAAAATAGAATTAGTCATAATATCAATGACTACCATAAAACTTGAATAAACAATTATATTAAGTTGATTTCAATGCTATAATGACTATGAGACTAAATTATTTATGTGTTGCATATTTAATTTTAGAAGTCAAATTTATTTAAACTCAATTCACATTATAATTCTTGTAAATTGTTTTTATTTACTAATTAAATAATTATAAGTTTATTCAAAAAAAAAAAATTATAAGTGCCCATCAATTTTCAACTTTAAAATAGTAGAAATTCATAGATAGACTCGGTCTATCACATCAGTTATAGACCCACCAATGAAATAAAGCCATATCAGATTGATATGTTAACGAAACATTTTTATTTCTGTTAATTCTTTCACATTTTTCTGTTTAGTTAGAGATAGGAAACAAATTGCTTTGATTAAGGAGTTAATGATGTGGAAAGAGTTAAAACGATATGCTGAAGCGACTTTATTTCATCGATGAATCTATAATTTACGTGGTAGACTAAATCTATCAATTTCTTCTAAAGCATATTTATCCTCAATAGGATAAACATTAGATATAGTATTTGCATAGGATTCAAAGTTTTATTATTTGAGAATTTTATTTATTTATTTAAATCATGAATATTTTTCAGTTAATTTATCCAAATTAAATTTCTGTTTTACATAAACTTGAGGTAGATCTTGCACTAAGCTTTTTTGGTGAATATATATATATATATATATATATTTGAGAGTCTAAAATAAACATTCAACCTGAGAATGGGAAAAAGTTGAATTTTCGTTTTTTGTTTTTTTGAGAAAATGATAAATGGTGCGATGTATTATTATGATTATGTACAGAGAATTAATGGCGTCAAATCCAACGAAGGATTGGCCCTTCGAAGCTCTAAAAAGATTATAATTAATTAGGGAACGCGTTTGGGACCCCAACACCGATAGTGTGAAAGGCTTGTCCGCTGTCCACACTTTTTATTTTATCAAACCCTAATCCCAAACTAATCCTTAACTCTCCTGTGTTTATCACCATTTTCGGTCCAATCCAACAATCAAAATGATGTTCAAGCTTTGGGCCATACCTTTTTTTTTTTTTCAAAGAAAAATTTCAAAATTCATTAAGGAAATAAAAAAGAAATACAATCAGAAATAAAATCTCACTCTCACTGTTTATTCGAGACAAACGTATCAATAGGAGACTCTATTTAATAAATGAGCTCCTACATTGGCTTGTCTATGTATCTGTCGAACAATAACATCATTCCTGCATCTAAAAATAATTCTACAATCCTCAACGACCAACCCAAACATAGAACAATTGGGAGAAAAGGAATGTAAGACATAAACCAGACGGTGATAATCTAAATAAATAATTCCCAAATCTTGCATATTTAATTCCACCCACAAAAGAGTTGATGGTAGAGCCATCGTCTCCACAATTGCTGGATCATTATGCAAAGAAAATGCCCAGATAGAGCCATAATCTAATACTTCATTATATTTTCTTTTCTAATTTATTCTTTTATCACTAGTAATATTAATAGTTCATGTTAAACTTAAGCTCTATCTTAAATTTAGGGGTGTAGTGGATTAGGATTATGTTAGATTTTAAAAGAATTATTGAGTTTGATAGAATTGAAGAATTTCTTAAAATTTCCACATATTCTACTGGAATTCTACATATAATTTTATGAAATTGATGAGACTTCTTTTATAGATTTTGATTAACTTTGATGAAATTACAATGATTTTTATATATTCAAAATCAAAATTAATTTTAAGATCTAATTAAATAAATGAAAAATAATTAATTCGTCTCTGAGGTTTGACCAAACTAACTCGTCCTCGTCTTTATCAATATTAATTTATGATCCCCGAAGTTTACTTTCGTTAAACCCTTCAGTTTTTTTGTCCAATTTTATTCTGATTTTGACGTTAAAATGTGTGAAAAA